TTGATTGATTGATTGATTGATTGATTGATTATGTGCCATCGAGTTGTTTTCCACTCCTAGCAACCGCATAGAACATTTTCTCCATTATGTTCTCTCCCCAGCCTGGTCCTTCAGGTCCCCATCGCCCGTAATTGAGTCCATGCCCCTTGCTGCTGGTCGGCCTCTTCAATTCCAAATTAAGCTTATTTTGGGCAGCCAAGTGGCATTTGTTAAATATCTTTCATTTTTCTTTCTGCTGGAATTATTTTTCGTCCAGCTCCTTCAGGATTTCTCACTCACCTTGAGTTTATTTACTCATTTCCGTATCTAGCGATAGAATTCTATCTAGCTCCTATGGCAGTTTATTAAAAAAAATTCCTAAGTAAGTATATGTAAGTTGCACACCAATATGGATTGGGGGGCACAAATCTGAGATTCTGGCCATTACCTTCTATTGTTAAAAAAAAAAGGCTTTTTTGTCACAGTCTGCGCATTGTTTGTGCACATGCCTGGATCCAGTCAGGATGATCTCCCTGTCATAAAGAACTTATGCAGAACAATTTTAAAATGCATATTAATAAAATCATCTTTGCAGGCATTCAGGCTCAGCCACTTTTGAGACTTTTCCCCCTGTGTTCCTCCCTCTCCCAATACAGCATCCAGACTGCCCACGGTCTCACAGTTATCCTTGTTTGCCCTTAGCTAGATTTCCTCTTTAAAAGCTATGGTTTCTCGCTCCATCTAGCCCAGAAATTCAAAAGTCCATCCTCCTTGCTGCCACCATTAAAATATCCGGCAGAGTCTTCCCTTAGTGTGCGCAACCTCTTCCCACATTGCATCTTAAGATGGAAGCGAAAGGTAGACTTTAACATTAGCTGCTTCTAACAACCCCCCCTTGTGCCCCCCACACCGTTTCTCCCTCCGTTTCTCCCCCAGCCTGATGAAAGACTGTGCAGAATTCCCTGTTTGGAGGGGGACGAGGGAGCCTAACCAAAGCATTGCTGAATTCATGGGCAATTTTCCAGGTGAAGAGAACAGAACTGCTCCCTCTTTACTGACAGGCATCCCATCTCCCCCCCCCCCATTTTGCAGATGACCACAAGCCTGGCACATGTCCCACCCCAGTTCAGAACGGCGACACGATGTGCGGCCACTTCTGCCTCACTGATTTCAGCTGCCCGGGCAATGAGCGCTGCTGCGCAACTCCCTGCGGGCAGCAATGCGAGCTCCCGCAAGAAGGTAGGCCTGCTTCTGGGCCTGGGTCCCTGGACAGAGGGCTGAGCAACTCAGCGGGAGAGTGCCTGCCGACCCGGGTATCAAGAAAAGCGGACCAGATCCATGCCAGAGCCAGTGGGGTTCTTGCCTGCCAGCAGGGACGTGGCCTCGGGGCCATCATGAAATAGCACTGCAGCCCGAGGGGAAGCGACTCCCTCCCGGTAGCCCAGTCCGTGGGGGCTCATTGTCCCAGGCCAGCAAGACTGGAGCTTGCAGCCAGAGCTCGGCACAGCTCGCGTGAGCAGCCGCACAGTGTGGCGGGAAGGAGAAGGCACACAAGTTAGAGCTGCTGGGGGAGGTGTCTCGGTGCCCGCCTGCGCTTAGACGGCCCCGGTCAGTCCTGATCTGCAGGTAGATCGGCCCTGCAGGGAGGCAGGAAGGTGCTCTGCAGGACTAGACCGGATGCCACCTGGTCAGAGAAGACGCTTCTGGCTGGGAAGATCTTCCAGGGCTGCGCTGCAGCTTTGGAAAAGCCCCCTCCGCGCCCTGGGCATCTTAGAGCAGAGGTTGCACAGGCCACGGGCCCTTCCATCAGCTTCGTGAGGTAGGGCAAAAATTGTCTGACTCCTGGGAGTTTGTGTAAGAGGTTGGGGGGCTCTTGCTGTGGGGCTTGCTTGCAAAATTACCCCCCCCCCCCCGGTGCCCTTGCCAGGCTGAGGAAGGTCCGGCAGCATTTGGAGAGCTCCTCGTCCTTCTAGGGCGTGAACTCCCTCCGTGACCAAGTACCCTCTTGCGTTCCGTGTCCCCCTTTTGTCTCCAGATGTCAGAGGATATTGCCCATCGCTGATTCTCCCGCCCAGCAATGGCACCACCTGCATGGCAAAGTGCACCAGTGACATGGACTGCAACCATGGCGGTCACATTCCCTGGAAGAAGTGCTGCTCCTCTAGGGCTGGGAAGCTGTGCCTGGAGGCTGCCGAAGGTCCCCCCTTTCTCTCTCTCTCTCTCCACCCCCCCCCAGGTGCAACAGGGACTGATGGCAGGGTGCCCAATCCCATAATATCACACGGGATCTATTCACCCCACACACTTCCCCTGGCTCCTAAATTAACCCATTTCCTGAACTTGCGCAACATCCGTATCCAAAAAGAACGAAATGTGCAGGGTTTGCACCAAACGTTAAGCCACAAAGGCACCCGTGTGAGTTTTGGCATTAACCAAGCTGAGCACAGGGGCAGACTGTACCTGCTGGCCTTTCCCTGTCCTGCTCAGGGTGCGTTGATTCGTGCGCAGTGCGCGCTGCGCGTCCTCCCAGGGCCTCAATCCTTCTCAACCTCCAGGCCTGGAATTCCTTCCTGGCGCACTCCGGGACCAAGCCCTGCCTCAGGGTGGGGGGTGGGGGGGCCTGGCCCAGCCCGACAGCAGGCGAGGAAGAGGCAAGGCTGCAGCGGACAGACGTCCCTCCACCCGAGCCCAGGGCACTGAGCAAGCCCTCCCGCCCCTTTCCAGAACACCCCGGCATCTGTCCCCGGAGGCAAGCGGTGCAGACCTTTGCTCCCTGCATCAACACCTGCGGCGATGACCGGGACTGCCCCCTCACCGAGAAGTGCTGCTTCACCGGCTGCGGCCGAGGCTGCCTGCCCTCAGGTGCGCCCGGGCCCCCTTCCGCCCCCCGCCTCCTTCGCCCTCTGCCCCCAGCCTGAGCACGGGGCGGCCGGAGGGCCCCTGAGCCCGGCCACGCGAGCTCCCCTCTCTGTCTCTCCCAGTCCGCAGCGTCCGGTGTCAGTTGCCTCGGGACCAGGGGAACTGCTCGCAGCATTTGGAGCGCTTCTACTACAGCCCGTCCGAGGAGGAGTGCGTCCCCTTTGTCTACCGCGGCTGCGGGGGCAACCGCAACAACTTTGAGACCAGGAAGCAGTGTGAAAAGGCCTGTGGGGAAATCAGTCCAGGTACGGAGGATCAGTTTTGCATTGGTGACCCTGGTCTGGTCAGGCCGGACAGCCACCGACGCCTCGCCTCGCTCCCCCCTGCCCCAGCACACCCTCCCCCCCGCCCCGGACCTTGGAGACCTTGGAGACGAGAAGGGGACAGAGTTAGCCCTGCTGCTCTTCTCCTTCTCCTTCTCCTTCTCCTTCTCCTTCTCCTTCTCCTTCTCCTTCTCCTTCTCCTTCTCCTTCTCCTTCTCCTTCTCCTTCTCCTTCTCCTTCTCCTTCTCCTTCTCCTTCTCCTTCTTCCTCTTCCTCTTCCTCTTCCTCTTCTATAAATTTTATTAAAAGCTTTAAAGAGAACAT